GGATGCCAACATGCAGTTGTGTCAGTTCATTGCCGTGGACAAGTAGTTATTGAACACACAGTTGTCCGAAATGCTTCTCGTTTTACCTTTAAAGACCTGTTCTAGAATGCCAAAATTAAAAATCTTTCGTTAGATGACCACAAACACATCACTATTTGTTAGAAGCATCGTCACCCCGATCCTTGTTTCAACAGGCATAGACCTGTCTATCTTTTGGATGAAATGAATTGTAAATTCCAATGAACTTTTTAAAAAATCACAGAAGTATTTGATGTTGATGAAACCCCATATCCCCTTGTTAGTCTCTTCTTTTGTTGGGGGGGGGGGGGGGGGGGATTCAAAGAGTTCCAACGAGACCAAGGTGATGCCGTATTGTGATTGGCATTCTCATAATAGTTAAGGGTGTGTAATTGGTTCAACCACTTCTAGTCAAGCTAAAGAGTTTTTTAAAAATGCATTACAGCTTTTAGGAGCAAAAGGAAAGAGTATTTTGCTCAGCAAGAAAAATGCATGTAAATGGGGTGACAGGTATTTTAAGGGAATATTTTAATATATTTGGATCTACATGTATAGCAGTATAACTATCTTACTGAGGATGTTGTTTAAGTACAAGGCAAGATTTTTTCTTTTACTCATTTGATGCAAAGCTCATACGGATGCTCCTCAGTAAGAATGAAAAGAAACTAGCATTATCAACTTCACGTTCCGCTATATAAATGATGTCCTTATTCTAAATAATTCAAGTTGGTGACTGTTGAATGCATTTATCTAATATTATTTGAAATAAAGGAGACCACAGATACAGGTATGTCTGACTCATATCTGGATTTACATCCAGAAATTAACAATGAGGGTTTGTTGAGAACAAAACTTTACGACAAAACGTACAATTTTAGCTCCCGCATTTTGAACTTTCCGTTTGTATGTAGCACAATTCCAGCATTGCCTGTATTTGGAGTCAATAGCTCCCTGTTGATATTCCAGAGTTGTAGGTTTGGGTACCTATCATGATTTCCTTAGAATAGGGATGTTATCTACAAGGAGGCTATTGAGCTAAGGCTTTCAAGTGACAAAGTTAAAGTAATCCCTTTGAAAGTTTTACGAACGCCATCACGAGTTGGTTGACCGTTATGGAATATAGGTGATATAAATGAAAACGGTTATATTCCAATTGTACCCAAAATCCTGTCCTTTTTCCTTCGATTGTGAAATCATCAAATAAGACTTATTACCGAATTTGTACTTACAATGAGAAATATGACGGGTAAAACTAGGGGAGCAGGATCTGCTTACCCTTTCGGACCACCTGATCAGCCCCAGTTTTTGGTGGTAAATGAAAAACTCCTTCTTATGAAAACGCTACGTTTATCCATGAATCGAGAAATTCAGGCTTCACACGGACCAAAAATTTATTAACAATAACTAATAATTACTGAAACGATATTGGGGATATTCCTCGCAGAGGAGACGAAAATCATTCTTTGAATGGATTACCTATCAATGAGTGACAATACTTTTGAAAAAATCAACAGATAAACTGAGTTTGTCTTGAATCAACAGAAGTCTAATTTCCTAATCATTTCAAATACCATTATTTTGTAGAATTCTAATCATTGGGCAGAAAGGAAATAAAATGTCAAAGGATACAACAGCAATAACAATACATGTGAAAGAAGATGACAAACTATTGGTTAATGGTTATCAGATTCAGGATCAGAGTTATGAAAACGGTCACCATTTCTGAACATAAAAGTTACTATTTAATCTTCATACATAAAAAATATTTATAAAAAAAACTTTTATATTATAGTTTCGGAATTGGAATAATTCAAAGCTGGGGCAAAGATAACTGCGATGCATCAACACATATACATTAAGTGGATATATGTCATCTTCATAAGTTTAAAATAAAATTACCCCGGTATTGGTAAATAAAAAACCAAAGGCATATTATGTTGATCGTCATCACGGCACTGGGTCAATACCACTGCTAGTGGAATTCTAATCCTGGAGGGTATCATTAGCTTATTGGTCGGTTCGGTCATGATTTCTAACATATTTTGTTGTCCTGATTTATCACAGGAAAGATCTCCGGACGCACTAATTAAGTTTATAAAGTGATGTTTTCAATTACCAAAGTTTTTGTTCGTTAATTCATTGCATTGTTTATTAGATATTATATGTGAAACATTTGGAAAAGGTTCGGTTTTAAATTTTTATCATTTGTTAAATTTTGATAAGAATTTTTCCAAGCATTCGTTTATTATCAATAATTGAATGCATCTAGTTATTACAAAATTACTCCTGGCACGTACATTATAAAAATGCCTAGTTACAATCAAGTGCAGTATATATGCGCAATATTTCACAACTGGTCCTTCATTTTCCTGTGAAAATTGTAAAAATGGATACAAAGGGTGGGTTTTCTCTTCACATATCTTAACAATCGGTGTTTGTGTTTAATGACAGTCCAGCTAGTGATGTCACTAGACGCATATGTGGAAATAAGATGTTTGCTTAATATCGGAAATAGTATCCTCGGAATGTACATACTGAACAATTATTCTCTAGGAATAAAACCATGCTAAACTCCATTAATCTCGTGAAAACGATGGAAATAAATGGTGCCTCCGTAGAGACATATCATATCTGCCTGAGAAAATAGCAACGTTTATTTTGTCTATATCCCACTAAAATTGCTTATTAATCATTGTATGGTGTCAAGAGAATATGTCCAAGTCAAACCATTATCTAAACACTATTAATCAAAATAAATCCTCGGGATAGGATGCATAAATTACCAGGAAACTATGAAACCAATTATTAATACACTTCTTAATTCAATGTCATCTGTTCCGATAAATATATAGAATAAAAAAAAACCAGTTACACAATGAGCCTACATAACAACCGTTTACAACCATTTGATAATCCATTTATTTTTTCGAAAAGTGAAGGGATTTTTTTTATGGGGAGGTATCTATGATGAGTTTATTTATATCTGTGCGAATTATAGAAAAATACACATCATATGCAATGTTCAATAACTCTTGGAAAAACCTTAATTATATTTGGAATTTTGCTAAGAAACTAAAGTTCCAACTCTCTCCGGCAAATTTGACCTATTAGTTATATGAATTTTGTGATGCTTTATAGGTCCTTTTGGTTATATAGCTCCAAACATTGCTACGTATTTTAAACATCCCTGGCTTTTAAATGGTTGGGCTTTGCGTTCCTGATGAAGGTAAATCCCGAAAAGTGCTTCGGACGCACAAAATTTATAAAGTTTTATTTTCATTTGCGAAAATTCTGTATTGTCACATTTACTATCTTTTGTCAAGCGAATATGACTAACAGGTTTTGGAGACTTGTTGTAATCTACCTTGAAATTATCACATCTTTTATGAACAAAGCACAATGAAATTATTATTCGAAAAAAATAAACTTTACGTTAACAACGGTATCAATATACCTACAAGATATTGGTGTGCGGTAAAACGTTCAATCTGAGAAAACATTATCATTTCAACCAAAAAAAAACCTTACTATTTTGAATTTATTTTGACCAATTCATAAAAAAAGCAATCATTATATGAATACAAATTCAGCTTATATATTTCTGACTGAAGATACACATATAACAATTGAAAGTATTCGTCTTAAAACTCTGTTTCAAATCTACCAGATTTTGTCCTGAAAGTCCGAGGAAATTCAGGTATAGCATCCCCAGAAGTCAATGATACACTTCCGTCATCGTCCTCTACTTCTTCTGTACAATACGGCAATGGTTCGGATATCATTACACCTTTTGTGTTTGGTCGTGTATCACCGCCATATTGTGAAACGGATGTTATGGCACCAAATCCAGTAGTGGTAGGTCTGGACATTAATCCAAAACTTAGACCTGTTATTCCTGTCATTCGCGTTATCACTCCATAGTTTCTTTGAAATTCAAAGGGAGGGGGAAGTCTGCCTGGAATGAATATTATAACACCGACAGCAATCGTCTGCTTCATGTCACGGATTATAATTCTTCCAAGTGAAGGGTAATCAAAAAAGCATTCAACGCATATTGGACGGATAGGTTTTAAATCAACAACACCCAATTCACCTGGACGAAGGCATGACGGATTTTCTTCAGCGCATTGGCCTGTTCGTCTGTCACATCTTTCCTTTATTTCTAGAAATTTGCAGGCAACCATTGACGTATGGCAATGCAGAATAGGGGTGTAACCCTTCTTTATTGTACCCGGATGATTTAAAATCATGATCTGAAAATATAAATATGGTTTGTCAAAAGTTAACATAACTTATGTATAATTCATCTTGATTTATCACAGTTAACTTTCTTTAACAAAAATCCATGGAGAAATAATTATCAAGTTGTCCTTCAAGTCTCCCGAGAAAAGGACAACAATGTATTTGGTAGATAATTTCCTTTACTCATTTCCTGAAATATTTAAATTTGGAGGACTAGAAGAACTTATATTTATTTTATATTACCTGTTATGTTAATTTGTGTGAGTAAGTATGCTTGCTTATTACTTTGATAAAGAAGAAGGGCAAATGAATCATTTACCTGTTATGCAAACGTTGACGAAATGTAGATGACCACCTCAGTCAGATATTCCCATATAAGTAACTTATTTGAGGGAGGTAATCTATTGAAGGGCATGTGCACAAAACTATTTGACGGACGGCATGTAAAGAATCATATTGGAGATTACCAAATAGATAAAGAAGTTCAACTAAAGAGTAATATTTTTATGACCTATGCAGTGACGTTTGTAAAAATCTGTAATGATTGTCTTTCAACATAAATCATATGGTTTTAGCTGATGTCTGTTTTTTTTTTTAATTACATGTACAGTTAGCTGATACTTGGACTGTTTATGATTCTCACACATAACTTTATAAAGGGTGTTAAAGGGTTTTTAAGACTTGTCAAGTATGCCGGCGTGAGGAAGTTCCAACATAACCGATAAATTAAGGGAATGTACCTGAGCAGTAAACTGTGTGACAGACTGTGGAGGATCGTCACAGGTATCCCCACATACATCACCTTTCCTGATATCTTTAAGTGTATAATTCTCTATCTGTATCCCAACATTGTCACCTGGCCTTGCTTCATCCATAACTTCTCTAAATACTTGCACTGCCCGTACCTATATAAACGAAAACTGGTGATTATTTAAAAAGGTTTACATACTACGTCTAAAGGTATGTCAACTTTTACTTTTTAAACATCAATAACTAACAATAATGATAGGCCTCAATGTACTCCCAATTGAAAATGAAGGTTTCTTTCATTTGATTATAATGTGTGAATGCAATACAAAATCTGACAGAACGAATATTTGACCTACATAATTACTGCTGTTAGGCTTAGACCGAAAATATCAGAGTCGCAGATTAAAGTTCAAATCATATTCCTTAAAAAATACAATTTAAACTTTGAAATATCTATACATAAAACTAAGACACTGAGCTCTTAGTCTTTATTAAACTGTAAAATTAGGTGGAGCTATTTTACAACATGTGTAAACCCTTCTAAATATGTAGAAAATAACTCCTCCAGTAAAGGTAAGTTTAACAACATGTGTAAACCCTTCTAAATATGTAGAAAATAACTCCTCCAGTAAAGGTAAGTTTTACAACATGTGTAAACCCTTCTAAATATGTAGAAAATAACTCCTCCAGTAAAGGTAAGTTTAACAAGATGTGTAAACCCTTCTAAATATGTAGAAAATAACTCCTCCAGTAGAGGTAAGTTTTACAACATGTGTAAACCCTTCTAAATATATAGAAAATAACTCCTCCAGTAAAGGTAAGTTTTACAACATGTGTAAACCCTTCTAAATATGTAGAAAATAACTCCTCCAGTAAAGGTAAGTTTAACAAGATGTGTAAACCCTTCTAAATATGTAGAAAATAACTCCTCCAGTAAAGGTAAGTTTAACAAGATGTGTAAACCCTTCTAAATATGTAGAAAATAACTCCTCCAGTAGAGGTAAGTTTTACAAGATGTGTAAACCTTTCTAAATATGTAGAAAATAACTCCTCCAGTAAAGGTAAGTTTTACAACATGTGTTAACCCTTCTAAATATGTAGAAATAACTCCTCCAGTAGAGGTAAGTTTTACAACATGTGTAAACCCTTCTAAATATGTAGAAAATAACTCCCCCAGTAGAGGTAAGTTTTACAAGATGTGTTAACCCTTCTAAATATGTAGAAAATAACTCCTCCAGTAAAGGTAAGTTTTACAACATGTGTTAACCCTTCTAAATATGTAGAAAATAACTCCTCCAGTAGAGGTAAGTTTTACAACATGTGTAAACCCTTCTAAATATGTAGAAAATAACTCCTCCAGTAGAGGTAAGTTTTACAAGATGTGTTAACCCTTCTAAATATGTAGAAAATAACTCCTCCAGTAAAGGTAAGTTTTACAACATGTGTAAACCCTTCTAAATATGTAGAAAATAACTCCTCCAGTAGAGGTAAGTTTTACAAGATGTGTAAACCCTTCTTAATATGTAGAAAATAACTCCTCCAGTAAAGGTAAGTTTTACAACATGTGTTAACCCTTCTAAATATGTAGAAAATAACTCCTCCAGTAAAGGTAAGGCATAACATACACATACTGGAAAGGTATTATAAATAAAATAAGAATATAAAATACGGTTAATGGGTGGGTATCTTCACTTTGTGTCGCTATATAGTGGCATTAGCAACGATTTTGACAAAAAAATTGAAGTAAGATGTTTTAAACATTAATAAAAGCGGATCGAAATAATTTCTCGCTTCTAGCAACCAGTTAGGTTCGATTTCGTAATAATAAGATAAAAAACATCGCAGATATATAAGTGTCTCGAAAAACAAATATTCGGCCTCATTTGTGTCAGTATGCATGCAACCCTTAGTAGGAGATGGGTTGGAGATGTGCCAAGCATGTTCAGTTATGAAAGGAAGGATATCAACACTGAAAAGCGAAAAAAGGGAGTTAACAGACAAAAAAAAAAAAACATTTCGTTGACTGATTCGGCCCATAAAAAATCCTTCTTATACAGGTAACACAATGATTCACATATAGTTTTGATCGATGACATGCAATCAAACACACATAGTTAATCGTCATTATACTATTGTACGTGCTTGTCTGTCTATTTATATTAGTATACATGTTCATATCGGGTCCCATGACCATGCATTTGCAGTCTTCGATTGTTAATCAGATCACGTCTAGTCCTAAAATACGAACGAAATACTGACCTTTAATACAATTGCACGCCCATTGCTTATTGTTTCCTGTTGAACATTTGTAATCCATGTAAATATTTAAGTGTATTACAAATCAAATCAAAGAATTCGGTGGTAATGAATTTAGCAGCTAATGTCCTGTTCACAATGTATTATATGAGGGGCGAGACATTCCCCAGGGAACAAAACATTTGGTACATCGGAAAAATCATAGCATATAAAAGTTATGGGTTATAGTGGGGGATCTGAACAGTTTTGATATATATTAAACGATTAACGATATAAGGGGAGGGTCATGAAGCCGCTGATTAAAACCCTAAGTGCACTTTAAAGGTCTTATTATGGAAATTAGGTATATATATGGACTAGTAATGGGAACAGAACCATTTTAAATATCAAACTATTCATTATATGAGAGGGCGATGCATGACCCCCGAAATCAAACGGGGTGCACAGAAAATGCCTTGCAATGACAAGCAAGTATATATATGTTTTTATGATGGAAATGAAAACCTTTCATAAAAAAAAATTATTTGTAAAATGTCAAAATCAGAGGTCGTCACCAAAGGCTTTTGTGTTTATACGTAGCGAAAGACATACATGATAATACATGTGTCTGTGTTGATTTGAGTCACATGATAATACATGTGTCTTTTCTCAGTGTCAAATACATAGGATCTGTTATTACTAAAGTTTGTAGATAAACCTAAACAACAATTGGAAGGAGTATTAAATACATGCAAGGTCCAACATATGAAATTTTGTTCAAATCTGAAGACAAATATCGCCCTTGTAGAATTATTAAACGTTGTTTACCATGAATCTTTTCTGAAAACAAAATGTCTTGGATCTTTTCAAACTTCAAAAGGTATAATCAATAAATGACCGCATATATGATAACTCTTTTATATGATCGGACTAAAGACGTTTTACATAGCTAACAGGTTATAATTGAAGTCAAATTTAAACACATCTTATGTCCATTTCTTTGTCAATCTGCACATTATTAGTTATTTATTGAATGTCATTCGAACTTCTTCCTCTTTGAAACAGACACTGTAGTTTTAACTATAATATGAATAATGAGTAGATCATTTTTTTTCTTTTTTCTTTTGTTGTAGTGACATTTACGAAAGAAATTTCAATAAAACTAAATTACACCACATTAAAAAACCAATTTGCACTCAACGTATCGTCTTCTGTGTTCCAAAATAAACATTAGCACGATATTACCAAACATATTGATTGCATAACCTCCTCAATAGCAAACAGAAAATTAATTTGCTAGAATACATTACTTTGTCGTGGTCATTTATTTTGATCCAAATTGAGAACGCTACTGTTTTGTAAATTCCTATCATAATTAACGATGGTGACAGAGTCTTTCATCATGGTACAAATACACAGAATTTAGATGAAAATTACAGGAAACTGTGTAAAAATCGATGGGGAAGAATTTTGTAGTGTAACAAGAAACACAATTATTATGCCTGTAATTTGGTTTTCCACATCTGTTGCAACGAGATTGTAAATTTAGTTAACAAGTCAATCCATACAAATTATCCTGCACATTGAAGACATGGATTTCAATACAAATACAGTATTAATTCTTTATGTGAACATTGATGACATGGATTTCAATACAAATACACTATCAATTCATTTTTTAAACGATGAAAACATGGAATTAAATACAAATACACTATCAATTCTATATGTGAACGATGTTTTTAGAGCATGATTTTTGCTAAAGAGGTTGATTTTACTTTTACTGTAATCAACATTCAAAAGGCGGTTCTTTCATAGGTAGAAATTATATTTTTTGTTCAAGAGAATATTTATTTGTGTACATTTGAAATTTTGTCTGGTTTTGGTGTGATTCTTCAATTGAAAGGTTTTGCCTTTTGTTGTATTTCTTATTTGTTTATCAGTTTGTTTTAAATAATAAGCATATTGCCTCGATAAATATAGAAATGAAGTTACATATTTTTGATGGTCGAGAAGGCTGCACTTATTTTGCCAACATCGGTGCACTTTAATTATCACATCATTATCACGAAGGCAAAGTTGACCTTTCATGAATTTGCCTATTCTTTGGAAATCCCGTTTGGGCATATAGCTCCTGACGTATTCAAGTTCTCATAAAGGTTTCAAAATTTGGCTTTAAATTTTTTGGATTTGAGCGTTCCTAGTTGAAGGGAAATCCGGGAAAGCGGTTCGAACACACCCTTCTTATATGTGTTATTTTCATTTTCAAAACATCACCGACTCGTTTTTGTACGTTCAGTTGCTGGCAACGTAATGTCATAGTTCTGAACATTTAATCAGTATAAGTGTTTGGTGTTACTATAAATTTTCACTTCTTCGTACTATGAACATCAAAATTATTTATTTTGTAAAAACATTTCCTTTCTCCATTTGAACTGTACACGTATACCTAACAACAAAATTATTTTCTTTTACCTGTGTTTGAAGTAATTGCAAATGGCTGATATCTTTGTTCAAGCATATTGTTTTTTTTAAATTGTTTAATATTTCACAGCGGTATAACATGTTACTTTAATCATTCTTCCCTTAATTTATTTATTTTGTATTTACATTGTATCATAGATCAAATTTATTTGTTCAGTGTATGTTCACTGGTGTTAATATGTCTTTTTATTGAGTTAAGCCATTTCATTTGATATTTTATAGTGTGTCTTTCTATGTTGTGATGTTACACTATTGTTTCAGATAAGGGTGAAGGTTTGGTACCATTAAAACGTTTAAACCCGCTGCAATTGTTTGCACCTGTCCTAAGTCAGGAATCTGATGTTCAGTAGTTGTCGTTTGTTGATGTGGTTCATAAGTGTTTCTCGTTTCTCGTTTTTTATGTAGATTAGACCTTTGGTTTTCCCGTTTGAATGGTTTTACACTAGTAATTTTTGGGGCCCTTTATAGCTTGCTGTTCGGTGTGAGCCAAGGCTCCGTGTTGAAGACCGTACTTTGACCATAATGGTTTACTTTTATAAATTTTGACTTGGATGGAGAGTTGTCTCATTGGCACTCATACCACATCTCCTTATATCTATATAACATATAATATATACCCTTTTTAGCAAAATCTTTATATTTTATGTTTAATGGCAAAAATAAGGAGATGTGGTATGATTGCCAATGAGACAACTATCCACCAAAGTTCAAATGAAGTGGATGTTAGCAATTATAGGCAACCGTACGACCTTCAACAATGAGAAAAACCCATACCGTATGGTCGGCTATAAAAGGCCCCGACATGAAAAATATGAAACAATTCAATTAAGAAAACTTAAGGCCCTATTTATAACAAAACAATTAAAAAAAACATATATGACAGACATGAACCAACGACAACCACTGAACTACAGGCTCCTGTCTTGGGACAGGCACATAAAGAATGTGGCGGGGTTAAACATGTTTGTGAGCGCTCAACCCTCCCCCTAACCTGGGGCAGTGGTGTAACAGTACACAATAAGAACAAACTAATAAAGATCAGTTGAAAAAGGCTTAACTCTTCAGATGGATACAAATAGAAATACATCTAACAAAAAACAGAGTGGACGTGGACGGGTACTTATACATCCCATCGAAAAAAACATCTGATACACAAATTTAATAATACTTTAAGATATTTGGATGATATTTTGGCTCTCAATAATGACGACTTCAGTATGTATACTAAAGAAATTTATCCTGTTGAACTTACTTTAAATAAAGCTAATACTAACAATGACCACTGCCCTTTCCTTGATCTTGATATCTATATCATTAACGGAAAGCTTAATACTAAAATATATGATAAAAGAGATGATTTTTCATTTCCTATCGTTAATTATCCATTTTTAGATGGTGACGTTCCCTTGTCACCATCTTACGGTGTTTATATATCTCAACTTGTACGGTTCGCTCGTGTATGTAACAATGTTTTAGATTTTAACGAGAGAAATTTATGTATTACTGAAAAATTATTACACCAGGGTTTTCGATATCACAAACTAGTCAAAACATTTACTAAATTTTATCATCGGTATAAGGACATCATTCGTAAATATAGCTCAACATGCAGACTTCTTATACGTTCAGGTATTTCACATCCAATTTTTTATGGAAATATTCTTTATAAAGCACAAAAATGTCAGTATTCACCTCTGAAGCTAACAAAACCTTTAAATAGACTTATTAAGAAGGGATATAGTTGCGATACTGTTGTCAAGTCATTAAAGATTGCATATTTTGACGTTAATATTGATTCACTTATAGGGTCTTTGCATCGGCACTAAACACATTTATTTAAAAACTAGTTGTTGGCATGACACGGGTTATGTTCTTCTCATATATGTTATGATGGTATGATACTAAACCCCTAACGGGAAGGATTGTGCCTGATATTCATATGATGAAGACATAATCTTTCAATCAGTTTAATTGAAGTCTGGAGCTGGCATGTCAGTTAACTGCTAGTAGTCTGTTGTTATTTATGTATTATTGTCATTTTGTTTATTTTCTTTGGTTACATCTTCTGACATCAGACTCGGACTTCTCTTGAACTGAATTTTAATGTGCGTATTGTTATGCGTTTACTTTTCTACATTGGCTAGAGGTATAGGGGGAGGGTTGAGATCTCATAAACATGTTTAACCCCGCCGCATTTTTGCGCCTGTCCCAAGTCAGGAGCCTCTAGCCTTTGTCAGTCTTGTATTATTTTAAATTTTAGTTTCTTGTGTACAATTTGGAGTTTAGTATGGCGTTCATTATCACTGAACTAGTATATATATTTGTTTAGGGGCTAGCTGAAGGACGCCTCCGGGTGCGGGAATTTCTCGCTGCATTGAAGACCTGTTGGTGACCTTCTGATGTTGTCTGTTCTATGGTCGGGTTGTTGTCTCTTTGACACATTCCCCATTTCCATTCTCAATTTTATCCCCACAGCAAAAAGAGACTTAGTACAGATCTGAGAGTACTCGAAGTTACTGACAGCTAGTTCAAAGCCAATAACAACTAATAAAAAAAAACATGCATCTAAGACTGAAATATCAATCAGTATAGTATAGTATGTTCTTTTATTGTAAAAGCTTTATTTATTCATTTTTATATTAATGAATGTTAGAATAAGTCTTTAATTGAAAGTGTCTCATAAGTCAGTTGGGGCTGGATACCGATATTTTATCTTAGATTTAAAATCGTTTTTGTATTTTTATACTTATATCATGATGTGTAATATTGTTTTATATTGGTATGTGGCACTATAACAAAATATTATGTCTATCTGTCTGTATAAATGCCAAAATATAGATCAAGACTGAAATATTATTAGGTATGGGCAAATTTGAATATTTATATAGTCAACTGAATTAAGCTAGGTTTTCAGTTGTCTTGTCAATCAAATCTTGACCAATTAGTAAAGTTTACAATTTTTCAAAATATTCTAAGTAAGGATTTCTTGATATGAAAATTAAAAAAAATAAGTATACCGGTAAGTAAAAAGTTTTAAATCTTCACAATACCATATCATTCAGAATCCCATCGATTTCGATCAACTTTCCAAAACTGAACCTTGTGAATAACATAAATACACAGGGAACCAGTTATTATATTTCCTCTACTATATTACCATAGGGTGAATATTGTTTGGTGCATAACTCACACCCATTTCTGGTCGTATATAACCTGAATCATGTGAGTAACATAGATACACAGGGAACAATATTATTATATTTCTTCCTATTATATTACCTTAGGATGTATATTGTTTGGTGCATAACTGACACCCATGTCTGGTCGTATATAACCACAGTGTATCCTTCCAGCTGTCACAATACCTATTTCTGAAATAGTATAACATCGATATATAATAGCGTAATATCTATCTCTAAAACAAATTAAGATATCACAATACAGCTTTATATTAAGCGTTAAATTTGTTTATTGTCAGAAACAGTGGACAGATTAAAGAACAGCGTTACAATGAATAACTATAATACGAAATAGTAATAGAAAAGTACAGAAGATGTAAAAAGGTTGTAAATCATTTCGTTTGTTTGTTTGTTTATAAGTTAGGACCAAAATCACTGACACGAGTAACAATATTTCAAGAAGGAATATTTTAGTAAAGTAATAAAAATATCGGTCCTGTCGCGCCTTTGGTATCTAATTTCCGAGAAATAATTCATCTACAAAATTTGTCTATGAACATTGGAGTTGTAGTTCTATAGGAAGTAAATATTTGATGGAACCAAAAGTTCTTAGAAAAATATGATCAGTTAGCATTCTTCAATTTGGTAACTGAAACTGCGCATGTCAGACAAAAGGAGATATTAACATGAAAACAATTGTTAGTGGATGCGTGTAGACAAGGTGCTTCCAAAAAAAATTGCGAGTGGGTACTTTTAGTAAGTTTTTATGTGAATGTTTTTTGTAATTTTGGTTAGATCATTCTATTATTTACTCTCTATCACTGGCTACAAAATATGAGTCTGTTGTTTAAACAAAATGTTTGTTGTGTTTGACTCAATTCTTTAATAAACAACAAAAGGAATCACTCCCATTCCCCTTTTTGGTGGGGGAGGGACGAACACGAAATTGTGACGGAATTAAAAAAACGGGAGAAGATGTAAGGATACCATGGGTAAAACGTAGTAAAGGGCAAGATAAACTTATCTTGTAAGGATACCATGGGCACAACGTAGTAAACGGCAAGTAACACTTATCTTGTAAGGATACCACGGGTACAACGTAGTGAAGGGCAAGTTACACTTATCTTGTAAGGATATCATGGGTACAACGTAGTGAAGGGCAAGTTAAACTTATCTTGTAAGGATACCATGGGTACAACGTAGTGAAGGGCAAGTTACACTTATCTTGTAAGGATACCACGGGTACAACGTAGTGAAGGGCAAGTTACACTTATCTTGTAAGGATACCATGGGTACAACGTAGTGAAGGGCAAGTTAAACTTATCTTGTAAGGATACCATGGGTACAACGTAGTGAAGGGCAAGTTACACTTATCTTGTAAGGATACCATGGGTACAACGTAGTGAAGGGCAAGTAACACTTATCTTGTAAGGATACCACGGGTACAACGTAGTGAAGGGCAAGTTACACTTATCTTGTAAGGATACCATGGGTACAACGTAGTGAAGGGCAAGTTAAACTTATCTTGTAAGGATACCATGGGTACAACGTAGTGAAGGGCAAGTTAAACTTATCTTATAAGGATACCATGGGTACAACGTAGTGAAGGGCAAGTTAAACTTATCTTGTAAGGATATCATGGGTACAACGTAGTAAAAGGCAAGTTAAACTTATCTTGTAAGGATACCATGGGTACAACGTAGTCAAGAGCAAGTTAAACTTATCTTGTAAGGATACCACGGGTACAACGTAGAAAAGGGCAAGTTACACTTATCTTGTAAGGATACCACGGGTACAACGTAGAAAAGGGCAAGTTACACTTATCTTGTAAGGATATCATGGGTACAACGTAGTAAAGGGCAAGTTGAACTTATCTTGTAAGGATATCATGGATACAACGTAGTGAAGGGCAAGATAAACTTATCTTGTAAGGATACCATGGGTACAACGTAGTAAAGAGCAAGTTAAACTTATCTTGTAAGGATACCATGGGTACAACGTAGTAAAGGGCAAGTTACACTTATCTTGTAAGGATATCATGGGTACAACGTAGTGAAGGGCAAGTTACACTTATCTTGTAAGGATACCATGGGTACAACGTAGTGAAGGGCAAGTAACACTTATCTTGTAAGGATACCACGGGTACAACGTAGTGAAGGGCAAGTTACACTTATCTTGTAAGGATACCATGGGTACAACGTAGTGAAGGGCAAGTTAAACTTATCTTGTAAGGATACCATGGGTACAACGTAGTGAAGGGCAAGTTAAACTTATCTTATAAGGATACCATGGGTACAACGTAGTGAAGGGCAAGTTAAACTTATCTTGTAAGGATATCATGGGTACAACGTAGTAAAAGGCAAGTTAAACTTATCTTGTAAGGATACCATGGGTACAACGTAGTCAAGAGCAAGTTAAACTTATCTTGTAAGGATACCACGGGTACAACGTAGAAAAGGGCAAGTTACACTTATCTTGTAAGGATACCACGGGTACAACGTAGAAAAGGGCAAGTTACACTTATCTTGTAAGGATATCATGGGTACAACGTAGTAAAGGGCAAGTTGAACTTATCTTGTAAGGATATCATGGATACAACGTAGTGAAGGGCAAGATAAACTTATCTTGTAAGGATACCATGGGTACAACGTAGTAAAGAGCAAGTTAAACTTATCTTGTAAGGATACCATGGGTACAACGTAGTAAAGGGCAAGTTACACTTATCTTGTAAGGATATCATGGGTACAACGTAGTGAAGGGCAAGTTAAACTTATCTTGTAAGGATACCATGGGTACAACGTAGTGAAGGGCAAGTTAAACTTATCTTGTAATGATACCATGGGTACAACGTAGTAAAGGGCAAGTTAAACTTATCTTGTAATGATATCATGGGTACAACGTAGTGAAGGGCATGTTAAACTTATCTTGTAAGGATACCACGGGTACAACGTAGAAAAGGGCAAGTTACACTTATCTTGTAAGGATACCATGGATACAACGTAGTAAACGGCAAGATAAACTTATCTTGTAAGGATACCATGGGTACAACGTAGTAAAGGGCAAGTTAAACTTATCTTGTAAGGATACCATGGGTACAACGTAGTAAAGAGCAAGTTAAACTTATCTTGTAAGGATACCACGGGTACAACGTAGAAAAGGGCAAGTTACACTTATCTTGTAAGGATATCATGGGTACAACGTAGTAAACGGCAAGATAAACTTATCTTGTAAGGATACCATGGGTACAACGTAGTAAAGGGCAAGTTAAACTTATCTTGTAAGGATACCATGGGTACAACGTAGTAAAGAGCAAGTTAAACTTATCTTGTAAGGATACCACGGGTACAACGTAGTGAAGGGCATGTTAAACTTATCTTGTAAGGATACCATGGGTACAACGTAGTAAAGAGCAAGTTAAACTTATCTTGTAAGGATACCATGGGTACAACGTAGTAAAGAGCAAGTTAAACTTATCTTGTAAGGATATCATGGATACAACGTAGTGAAGGGCAAGTTAAACTTATCTTGTAATGATACCATGGATACAACGTAGTGAAGGGCAAGTTAAACTTATCTTGTAGTGATACCATGGGTACAACGTAGTGAAGGGCAAGATAAACTTATCTTGTAAGGATACCATGGGCACAACGTAGTGAAGGGCAAGTTAAACTTATCTTGTAATGATATCATGGGTACAACGTAGTGAAGGGCATGTTAAACTTATCTTGTAGTGATACCATGGGTACAACGTAGTGAAGGGCAAGATAAACTTATCTTGTAAGGATACCATGGGTACAACGTAGTGAAGGGCAAGTTAAACTTATCTTGTAGTGATACCATGGGTACAACGTAGTGAAGGGCAAGATAAACTTATCTTGTAAGGATACCATGGGTACAATGTAGTGAAGGGCAAGTTACACTTATCTTGTAGTGATACCATGGGTACAACGTAGTGAAGGGTAAGTTAAACTTATCTTGTAAGGATACCATGGGTACAACGTAGTGAAGGGCATGTTAAACTTATCTTGTAAGGATACCATGGGTACAACGTAGTGAAGGGCATGTTAAACTTATCTTGTAAGGATACCATGGGTACAACGTAGTAAAGGGCAAGTTAAACTTATCTTGTAGTGATACCATGGGTACAACGTAGTGAAGGGCAAGATAAACTTATCTTGTAGTGATACCATGGGTACAACGTAGTGAAGGGCAAGTTAAACTTATCTTGTAAGGATACCATGGGTACAACGTAGTGAAGGGCATGTTAAACTTATCTTGTAAGGATACCATGGGTACAACGTAGTAAAGGGCAAGTTAAACTTATCTTGTAGTGATACCATGGGTACAACGTAGTGAAGGGCAAGATAAACTTATCTTGTAGTGATACCATGGGTACAACGTAGTGAAGGGCAAGTTAAACTTATCTTGTAAGGATACCATGGGTACAACGTAGTGAAGGGCATGTTAAACTTATCTTGTAAGGATACCATGGGTACAACGTAGTAAAGGGCAAGTTAAACTTATCTTGTAAGGATACCATGGGTACAACGAAGTGAAGGGCAAGTTCCACTTATCTTGTAAGGATACCATGGGTACAACGTAGTAAAGGGCAAGTTAAACTTATCTTGTAAGGATACCATGGGCACAACGTAGTGAAGGGCAAGTTAAACTTATCTTGTAATGATACCATGGGTACAACGTAGTGAAGGGCAAGTTGAACTTATCTTGTAAGGATATCATGGGTACAACGTAGTGAAGGGCAAGTTAAACTTATCTTGTAAGGATATCATGGGCACAACGTAGTAAACGGCAAGTAACACTTATCTTGTAAGGATACCACGGGTACAACGTAGTGAAGGGCAAGTTACACTTATCTTGTAAGGATACCATGGGTACAACGTAGTGAAGGGCAAGTTAAACTTATCTTGTAAGGATACCATTGGTACAACGTAGTGAAGGGCAAGTTAAACTTATCTTGTAAGGATACCATGGGTACAACGTAGTGAAGGGCAAGTAACACTTATCTTGTAAGGATACCACGGGTACAACGTAGTGAAGGGCAAGTTACACTTATCTTGTAAGGATACCATGGGTACAACGTAGTGAAGGGCAAGTTAAACTTATCTTGTAAGGATACCATGGGTACAACGTAGTGAAGGGCAAGTTAAACTTATCTTGTAAGGATACCATGG